AAATAATGCTCTATTCTAGAGTAACTTGGAGTTAAAATTACAACTTTGATATTCAAGTAATAGCGAAGTTGTGGGCACTTTAAATTTTACAGATTTTGCAGAAAATTGTTCGTTTCTCGTTCAAGACGAGATTCAAAGTTTCCACCTAGAGGAAGTGAGTTAAGTGAAATCTTGTAATGGCATGATTTATAGTCCATATCATGGGAACAAATTGGTTTCTTATTGGAGTCCCTAGCTTCAATAGTTATCGAGATATGGGAGATAACGCAAACCTCCATTTCAGGCGAAAACGCGTTTTTTCGCATTATAGAAACTTCGCTATTAGTTAAATATCAAAGTTGTAATTTTTATTCCACGTTACTCTCGAATAGAGCATTATTTTCTATGAGTTTGAATTTTTTCTGAGCTTACCCACCGGAGATATAAGACACTTTAAAAATGGCCGATTTGGGGCCCAGAGCAAAGTTTGGAAGCTCCTGGAAAATTTTGGAAAATAGGTACGGTGTTCAAAACTATGTGATTATATTCTTCATGTAGAAGAAAATAAAGGGTAGAAACCATAGATCTGATACCTTCCCCCTTCTATTGGTTTCTGAAGGTCAAAAATAGCTTTTTTCCCAAAATCGATAGGTAAGTTTCAAGCTTAATTACACCTAGAGAAAGTGAGTTGAGTAAAATCTTGTAATGATATGATTTGTTGTCCATATCATGAGGAACAAATCTGTTTTTCATTGGAGTGTCTAGCTTCAATAGTTATCGAGATACAGAAGATAACGCAACCCTCCATTTGAGCCGAAAACGCGTTTTTTCACATTATAAAAACGACTGTACCGGGAGAACCGAGCGGATCACAATTTTTTTAACATTTTTTTGAGGTGTGAAAATATGTAGAAATAAGTGTACAAATTTTGAATTTTTTTAAAAATGGTGAGCGTCCTCTCTGGATGATGTCACACGGAATGACCCTATAGGAAAAGTCAGTTACTGTACATTGGCTGATTACAATAAGAGAATAAAGTTACAATACTTACAATTGTCTACAATAGATTACAGTAGATTACAATAGCTGAGATTTCATATAGTGTGAGGTGGAATCTATATTAGGTCCCCTCAGCACGTCGGCTTCCATATGTCCTATTGTACCTGTACTGGTGATAATGCTTATGGAGAATTTGACGGAATACCAAAATGCATGCTACTTTTCTTTTTAAAACCCATTCACCTGGGACTAGAATGAGTTGTGTAATGTTTACCTAATGATTGCCAGCACACTAATGAGGCAAAGTCCAAGTGCCCAGCCAGCTCTTTCAAACACTGCAGGCAGCGTCAGTGCACCAGTACCCACAATGAGGTTGAAAACATAAATCAGGCCCATCTACACAACAGTAGACAATGTTGAAAATTAGAGAAAGTATGAAACTGGGCATATGGATACAGGGGGTAACCTGTAGAAAAAAAATAAAGTAATATGGCTTCCAAAAGAGAAAAGAAGTGACAAAAATCTGGAAAGAGCTGCATATAAGCACCTTCAAACATCTTCAACGATAATATTAGGATGAGCAGATCCAGGTAGCTAAGTTAGGCAGGATGTGTAACACACACATAACAGATGAGAATATACACAATTTCAGTCAGAAAATTTAAGACAGAAGAATTTACTTGAAATACCTAGCCAGCAACAGGAGGATAAATATTAAAACAGATCTTAAAAAATAGGATAGGAACATATTGACTGGATTCATCTGGCTTAGGATAAGGACCAGTGGTGGGTTCATATGAACACAGTAACCAGAGGTGCAGTCCTAAAAATAAAAACGTCAGTGTGCTCTGACATGCAGTACCAGGTGAAAAATAATTTTTATAAATCATGTGAAGCTGCTGTTACTACCTAACAACAAGCCTTATACTGTGATATGCAGACCTGAATAATGGACAGCTCACAAAATGCATGTACTTATAGAAAGTGATGCTTCCACTTTCCAGATATCAAACATGCTGTAAAAGCTTTATTTAAGTTTCATATCATCTTTAAAAGAAGTGCAAGGGTAGCTTTCCAGGCACTCAAAAAACATTAGGGCACTACTTCCAGTTCCACTAAAGCCCTGAAATTAAGGAACCTTCTGGCACCATACAAGGTTGGGAATCTCTAAACGACTATACAACATGGAGTTAAGTTTAGTCAGTTAATAAATCTTAAAAATAAATTAAGATTAGTCTAGTGAATAAATGCCTTCATTCCTTCAAAAATTAAAATTCTTTAGCAAGTGGTTTTGTCTTCCAAGTAGTCTCTTCCCCTCAGTTTTTCTAAGCATTACACTTCTGTCTGATAACTGGTTGAATTCAACATTCAGTACATGGAAATCACGCTACATCATCTTTTAGAATGTATGTCTAAATCTTTCTCATTTGTTCACACAGAATTACAAGAATAGAGCAAGCACTGGCACGGGTTTTGTTGTACATTAATTCTTTTAACCAGTTCTCCAAGATATTATCTCATTAATGCCCGCATTTCTTTCGGTGAATTGAATCTGCCCATCAGACTACTCCATATGTCACAAAGGAGTGGAAATATGCAAAATAAATTAGTCTACATCAACGATACGCATATACCCATTCGAACACTTACACATGCTGAATAGGGCTGTCCAGAACCTCTTCCGCCACCTGAAATGTCATCCATACTAACGTCCATTCGCCCCGACGGTCAGAATAAAATGCCCTGTCTCTCCGTTTGGTTAGCCTTATAACGTATCCAATCACACGTGTCACCCATCACAAAGACAGTAATGGTACAAATCAGTCAATGGGATCAGCTGTTTAATTTTAGTCAGGTGTACCAACATGCACCAATCTAACGCAGTTCTAGTGGTTCAAGGTAGTGCGTTCTATTCGCAAAATAAGTCTACAAGTTTTTGTTCCTTTGCAGGAAGTGAAAGCACAGAAGTCGTGTGTTACGGTCTGTCTAGTTTGCTACCAAAACTAATTTTATCCACGAACAAGAAATACTCAATCGGCCTCGAGATTCCTGTGACGAACCTGGCCTATTCAGTCTTAAAACCTAACTTCTTAGCTTGTTCACAATTGTAGAAAGTTTGTTCGAGAACCTCAACCACTGGAGTTCAACCCCAAGTATCCATGCCCTAAGGGTTAGCAGCCAGATCGTGAACCGTACTTACACCAGCACCTGATGACTTTTCTTTTAATTCGCTGTTGGGGGTTGGAGTCCAGCTTGGTCCACTCGGCACGGCGGCCACTGATTGGGCTATTGTACCTGCCCTGGGTGATTATGATGGATAATTTGGTGGAATGAAGATTGGCAGGGGAAACCGAATTACTCGGAGAAAACCCGCCCCAACGCCACTTAGTCCACCACAAATCCCAATTAACCAGACCCGGGATCGAACCCGGGCCGCCGCGGTGGGAAGCCAGCGACTAACCTCTTGAGCTATGGCGCGGCCACCTGATGACCTTGCTTTTCATCGCTCATCATTGCAAAATAAGGCTAGTTCATGTATCCACTACCACCCTTTAACAAAGGTAAAAAGAAAAAAAGGTAACAGGCAGTGAAGGCCCATAGGGTTGTGAGACGTCTAGGCTTCCACATTTTCTAGATAATTGGCTCACAGATGGCGGTAAGGTTGTCAGCCCTACACGCCGGCCGCCTTTTAGCCCCCAGGGAGATTACTTGTACTCATTTGTCAGAGGCTGAGTCAACCCCAGGGTCATTGTGCGGCTCGGAGTACGGTTGAAAAAAATCCAACTCGTCGGAACTCAAACCAACAACCTTCCCTCTTGTAGCATTGTGCCTCAACCATGTTACCACGTATCCCGAAGGTAAGGTACTTTATATTAAAATGTATATCAAGATGGTATGTTAAAATATTCGCAGTTCATTTAATATTTATTGCTGAAATACCAAGTGGTATTTGCATGCGAATGGACAAGTACCACTACATATATCTATTACCTCATTTCCTGTCAGTGCAATTCACGGAATTAATCCCTCGCATATCGCTCTTAAGGTTTGAAAATCTCTTTGACCATCACATCTCTAGTTTGACACCGTATTCCAAACAAGAATTTCTACACCTACTCTCTTCACACATCAAAACTTTCCACTACTTGAAACTGCATTTAAAGCCATGGATTTAGGCTTCTACAGCCCTGTTCAAATTACTGTGCAGCAGAGAAAACGCTGCAAACTTGGTAAAACAGAAACTAAATTAAACCAAACAAGTACCGTGGTTAACTCTTAAACCCTCAAAACCAAACGAGTACCATGGTTAACTCTTCAACCCTCAAGACTGGCAATGCTTTCCTCAGACTTCAGTTCATTGAAGATTCCATACCACATAACAGCACAATCCTGCCTTTCATTGCCCTGAACTATCCACTGCAGCATCAAACTCCTTTAAAAGCACAATCTTTTCAAAGGGGAAATTTGGGTGGCAACAGAAAATATGTGGAACTATTTTACTGATTTTTATTTACTTTCCCATAATTCTAATTTCTTAGATCCACAAATGGGAATAAATTAATACTTTGGCCTAGTGCATTTACAAAACACTTTGGTTCTAAACTGAACCATTCATTTTCTGAAAGAAACAGCCACAACTTTTACATGTGTGAAAATTCCCTGAAGAATTATTACAAAAACTTATTACACTTTTCAGTTAAGAAATTATCAAATATCTTACAATTGTCAAATTACAAGCCTTTTACACGGAATGCTTGAGCACGGATTCCGCAGAGTTCTTAGAAACCCTGGGACACTGAAGGTGATCATAAATACAGAAAAGGCAGCCTAACTTCTTTAATTTTTTATGCAACACAAAAAATGGAATCACACATTCTTATAATACAATTCGGTGACTTCAAAATCGTTCATGACAGGATAAAAGAACGAAGTCTGTAATGTTCCTCCAGATGGTCACAGGAGTACTCTCATAGAAGCACAACTTCGTTATTGAAAGAACAGCAGTGTTAATGTACGAAAAATATCTAGAAGCATTTCCTGTGGACAATGGAAGGTCCAGATTCATCATATTCCTGCTTGGAGATCCACATCTGCTGGAAGGTTGAGAGTGAAGCCAGAATAGAACCTCCAATCCAGACTGAGTATTTCCTCTCTGGGGGAGCAATAATTTTGATCTTCATTGTGGAAGGTGCAAGGGCAGTGATTTCCTTTTGCATTCTATCAGCAATGCCAGGGTACATGGTAGTACCACCAGAAAGAACAGTGTTGGCATACAAATCCTTACGAATATCGACATCACACTTCATAATGGAATTGTACGTGGTTTCGTGAATTCCACATGCCTCCATTCCCAAGAAGGAAGGCTGGAAGAGGGCCTCTGGGCAGCGGAACCTCTCATTACCGATGGTTATCACCTGCCCATCAGGAAGTTCGTAAGACTTCTCCAGTGAACTTGAGGAGGCTGCAGTAGCCATCTCCTGCTCGAAGTCAAGAGCAACATAACACAGTTTCTCCTTGATATCACGTACGATTTCTCGTTCGGCAGTAGTTGTGAAGCTGTACCCACGCTCAGTCAAAATTTTCATGAGGTAATCTGTCAGGTCACGGCCAGCCAGATCCAGACGCAGAATGGCATGGGGCAGAGCATAACCTAAAAACACGAGGAATCATTAGCGGTCTTCAAGTTAGTAACAATACCCGTTACTGATGCTAAACCAATGCTATACACAATATCCTTTCCTTTACATATACTGAATATATCAAATACTAATTCATCAATGCTATACTCTGAACATTCCCAAATTACCTTCATAAATGGGCACAGTATGGGAAACACCATCACCAGAATCCAGCACAATACCAGTGGTCCTACCAGATGCATACAGAGAAAGTACAGCCTGGATAGCTACGTACATTGCTGGGGTGTTGAAGGTTTCAAACATGATCTGCAACAATTAAAGTGTCCATCAGCATTTCATTGCTACCAACAAGTGTTGTGTCATTCCTCTGCCACATCAGAAAAAATGCATTCTACACACCTGGGTCATCTTTTCTCTATTTGCCTTTGGGTTCAGAGGAGCTTCTGTCAACAGGACTGGATGCTCTTCTGGTGCTACTCGAAGTTCATTGTAGAAGGTATGGTGCCAGATCTTTTCCATATCATCCCAGTTGGTCACAATACCATGCTCAATGGGGTATTTCAGGGTAAGGATACCCCTCTTGGACTGTGCCTCATCACCAACATAGCTGTCTTTCTGCCCCATGCCTACCATCACTCCCTGAAATTGAATGTGCATGATAAAAGTTGTGCTTGAAATTACACAGCAACATGCACATGAGAAAAACACCTGGTACACACTGGACAGTAGACAGTGGGCCCAAGAGCTGTTTTTGATGGCAGGGAGAAATTTGCCCACCACAAACCAAATCCTAAGTTCCCGATTCATTCCGCCTGAATCTTAATCGCTATCAAACATTAAATATGTATCAGAAATCAGGTTCTTTGGCAGAAACTTGAAAATACTCCCTAAATAAGCTCAAAAATGATTTACGAAACTTTTATTTTAAATAATGATGCCCAAAATTGTGTATTAAACAAAACGTAAATTCTTGTTTATCTATAATTCTATATTAAACTGATAATGTGAATGTTTACAAAATTATGCCTTGTTAGATGAATGGAGAGCAAAAAATACACAGGTGGTCCATATTTTGGGACCAATATGTGAATTCGGGTACCAACAAAACAAAATGTTTAATATTCTAAAACATTAAACCTCATGAACATAATACTCAGTACTGAAGATTTCTGCTTACCTGATGCCTAGGTCGGCCAACAATTGATGGAAATACGGCTCGGGGTGCATCATCGCCTGCAAATCCGGCCTTGCACATTCCAGACCCATTATCTACTACAAGGGCAGCAACTTCCTCGTCACACATGGTTAGTATTTAAGGGAACTGAAACAATACACGTCTCATCTCAACAACAGACCAGTGGCAAAGTATCACCAGTACACTAGAAATATCAAAACAGATGACTGAACTAGGCAAAATACAGCCATTAAACTGAACAAATCACAAAAGCTACAGTAGTTGACTGAAGGACTACTGCATTCAGTTTCAATTCATCGAATTCCATACCTGCATATAACTATTTGCACTTGTAACAACCTATGCCACTATCTTAACGAGTTCTCAAGAACGTTTTCACGCGGAAACGTTCCCACAAAGGAAGACCCAAAAACTAGACATGCTCAGCCCACCCTTCACATTCTCATTGGACCCTTAGACCACGAGACACAATCTGCTAGGGCCATCCTCCCATTGCAACAACACATATTTACTTCACCTCATACTGTGTATTACGCTACATACAACACTGATAAACTGGTAACGTGGCAAATCTGAGGTATTATCCTGGCATTTGCATGGAGAAACAGAAGAAAACTGCTACAAAGCCATCAGGAGTGTCTCCGGGCTGAGTTCTGAACCAGGTACCTCCCAAAGTACCAACCATACAATCACATGTTCTGTTCAGACATTAAATGAAACTGCTGCCATGAAAGAGGCACCTTCAACCGATCTGACCAGCAACCAGCCAACAGCAGCATTAACCAAGATGGTCAGCAACCACCTTAAGAAACAATCTTCCAGTACATTCACAATAACAGTACTACGTGATACAGTTTCGGTGGTAAAGTACTACAAAACAGCTACTAAAAAGGCCGGTCTGCGGCAACCTAATTAAAAAGTGCAACTCGTGTTTTCCGACTCAGGATTAACAACCCACCCTCCTAATATCCAAACCGACCTTTTCAGACACTTCACAGCAGTTCACTTGTATCCTCAGTACACAAACAGGAACTTTTAAAAATATCCACTACACACGAACTTACTTGAAATGGTTTTTATATACAAAGGTTCTGAACTGTGAACCACCGTTTCCAGCACCAGACTAACTACAACCAGCTGGATTGGTATGAGTAATATATGCCAGCTAAGTCTTTCCCCTCCCATCAAGCCCCCCCCCCCTTCTCACTAATATGGGCATGGCACCTTCAGCCAATGGCAGCTTTCTTTACCATATATGGTATTGAGCTAGCAGTGTGGAACACAACGCAACGTACCGGAACCCGCCATGCCGGTTAACATACGAAAGCCGGTCAATTGGCAGTCGCATAAAATATTTCCAGTATTCCCGTTATTTTCTACGGAAATTGTTATTCATTCTAACCCCCTCCCAACTGTATTGATAATAAGTTACAAAAATTGTAAAAGAAAAAAATACGCGGGCACAAAACTGGAAATCAATTTCAACAAGTCACACACAACCAGTTTCATTAAAATAAAACGCTGCAACGGACGCAGCGAACACTGCTGGTCTGTGAAGTCTAAATTTAGAACGGAACCACCTGCTACTGAACGAGAAGACAACCTGTTAAGTCGCCTCACAACAATTCACCCCCTAACAAAGTCCACTTAAAAGAGTAATTTAATTCACTAGTAATAGTATATAATTGTTGGCTCGTCCAAACTCAATTCAAAATGGACACCCCCAAAATGTAATGTATTAAGCCGGCATTAAGCAATCATTCAGATAAACGTAATTCGACATTGTACTTCTCCATAATCTTAGTGAAAAAAACAGATAAATTCTTCTCATATCTGAAAATAGATAAGAACAAATTCTTCATAATAAGCTTACCTTTAGACAGACGAACACGTCACACTTCCAACCTACAATACAAACTTGCCGCAAGTGAGCGATCCAACCGCTTAGGGAAAGTCTCTACTCAAAAGTGGACTCGTCCAAGGTATGACCAGTTTTGTTTAATAGTTAACACATATTATTCTCACAGCAATATCTTACAAATAACAACATAAATTGAAAAAATGTGAACTATAATACATTTTATTGTTGATTTTATATGTAATATTTATTGGAAATATTAGATATTGTGCAGTACATACTACCTTACTCCCCTACTCCTATTAGACTCGACCTTCTCCCCTCCTCAGTTCCCAGAACTGTACGTGCCTTATATGGGCATAAAACGAATGGGGACTTCTGATTGGACGAACCTAGCCGGTTTGATTCAACAGCGAAATGCATGGGATAGTTGGGAATCCGTGGTTGGGAAGGTTCAAGTGTTTGGCCGTTGTTTTATAAGCTACAATATGTATTTTCTTATGAATCGTGACGTGTTCGATAGCTTTGTAAAGCTAATGCTAGGATTCCGGCATGACCGTAAGGACTTGAAACCATATTTGCGGCCGTGGTGCACTAGCACTATATTTACCAAGGGTATGTGATACCCGTGACATGTAGAGAACTCCATGTTGAGTTTTAATATTTTTGACGAAAGATAATTAACAGTATCATTCATGGCTGATTTTCATCTTTAACATGCTGTATGCTTGATTTTATTATTTCGTTAGATATTCACTACCTGACAATTAGGAAAAGAGTTATTAACCCAGTCTCTGACATGATCTGACAGAACGCAGATTAAACGTCCATAGGCGAGTAGCATGAAATGAGCAACTAATATTCCCGTCAAACAATATTTTGACACTTCCTTGATTTGGTAGGATAGAACGAAATATGTCGGTTGCCTTTGTTACCCCTCAAAGGGGCAGGGCGTGTCTGAGGGCATGGATTTAACAATCGATATTCAGTTCACTGACACCGTTCCCCGCCACATAACTTCTTTCAATAGTTAAGTCCACTTATAAAAAATTGTTTATTTAATAAGCCATATAAGAATGAATACCAAAAGAAAGTCAAGGAGTGGGGGGGAAGTCTTAATTCAAGTTTACTCGTTCAGAACGTTGTGTTTTTAGTCTGCATTTTAAGAGGCAGTTGGGCGAGTCTCAAAAACAAATGTACTAAGTACGTATTCCCTATTAACTCGTGTCCAGTTTAGACTGGGAAAGTGCTAGAACCGTGAATTCAGATTCCTTGTGGGGCATGGATGTTGTCTGCTTTTTTCTATGTACTATCGTACAGTGGCTTTGCAATCGGCTGGTTCCGCACGCAGGAAGGCCTACCACGTGTCTAAATTTTGTCGTCAGAGTGACATATCTCCGAAAGGAGAAGACTCGTGTGTTATTAATCCTTCAGAGCATAATGGTTAGAGTACATAAACCCATGCTTTAACATTGAAAAGTACTTTGCATTTTTCCACAGACTGTATTTATCGGCTTAGAATGATTCAGAAAAGCAACAGCAGTTTACTTAAACATCATAACCAATTGATCTTTATAATGGAGACTTAGTGGCTTTAGCTGTGAGGCAGAAACTGATTCCTTAGATCTTATTTATACGTATTTCAGGCTTCAAAGCATTTGGCTGCTATCACGCGCTCGGGTGTCATTGGATGTTTATGTCGGACCGGGAGCGCTGCTAATGCGTATGATGATGTCTTTCATCCGATAAAAATGTCCTTCTTTACAGCGTTATCAGTGAGATCTTTCAAATGGCTCGCTAGAAATCGTTCACGTAATTCATCGGCCAATATGCAGTAAAGAGCAGAAGCGTTCTTACACCCAGGCACCGACGTGCTGGTGTCGATGGTTTCTCTTCGCGTGTTCTTTAATTAACATTTAAATGTTTTTCACCAAAGTGATAAGAACTCTGAGCAGATGACTGGATTGTTTAATTGGGTCAGTGTTTCTTTGCAAGGGCACAGAAAGCATAATGAAATTCTATAAAACTTTTAACATAACACTACTAATTAAACCGAATTTATAGACTTCATAGCCCAGTTCGAAGAAAACATCCGTGTTTTGATTCTAGCTGGAGCCAGAACCCTCCAAACTGAGGTTCTTTATATATATTGGTTCTCCCCATGCAAGGGCACATGTCATAGCCAAGCTGGCAAAATGTGAATCTGTTCCTGTGCTTAAATAATTAAGCAGCACGCCATGAAGACGTATTGAGGAACGAAGGTACATTTCCACCATTCTTGATCTCTGCTTTTGATGGAGGTGAGTGGTCAGCTTCACGCCTGACCGCTTTATCCCCGTGGAAGAGCCCCCGGTACCAATTGGATAGAAAGCTGGATGAACACCATAGTCGGTCCGGACACTGTGGAGGAGAGAAAATGTTGTTACTCCTACCTGGAATCGAACCCCGGATCATCCAGTCCGTAGCCCATCGCTAAACCGACTGAGCTATTCCCTAGAATTATCTCGGGCGCCTTTTGACGTCCAGGGACAGCTGAGGCCTCACCACCGGTCACCGCTTGACCCGCAACCGAACTTCAGTCGAGCCCTCGGTCTTCTTGCCAAGAAGTTTCCTTCTGCTGGCCAGACATTTCTTCTTGATAGACGGGATACTCATCGTCATCAACGGACCTGTTTCGGTCTCACCCTCAGTGGATCTCTCGTCAGAGCCCTTGACAGATTCTGTCTCGTCACAGCAGCAGACGAGTAGAACTTGCGAAGAGAAAGCCTCACCAGTCGGAGTAGAGGCGTCGGGGACCAGCAACCCCTGCTGTACGCTCTAGGGGCTCTAGGGATAGCAAAGCCCCCACCACAGTGGAATGTCGCCTTGTACACCGAGGGCACCGTTCACCACCTGCTCCTTCAGTGCCAAGCGGGCCCTGGCACGGTAGCTCACCTTACCTCACGGCACTACTACCCTTAAGCGTCCAGGCCAGCCTGTTGCTACCAGAGACAGGCACGAGGAGGCGAGTGGGGTCATTTGGTCCCCAAACAAACAATATACGAAAAGGTGTGATATAGTTTCTCATATGGAAACACTTATTCCTGCATTAGCATTCTAATCATATTTAATGTTTACTTACTTACTTACTTACTCACGGAGCTGAGCCCTTCTGGAGGAGCCGCCAATTCTGCAGCTACTCAAGAATTTCCCAGCATTTTATGGAACCCGAAGGTTCATTACCGTGTTCACAAGAGCCCTCCACTGGTCCCTATCCTGAGCCAGATTTATCCAGTCCATACCATCCCATCCTATCTCTCTAAGATCCATTCTAATATTGTCCACCCACCTACGCCCTGGTCTTTAATATTTACCTTTAGGAATTAACTCCGTGGTCTGTAGTCCTCAAGCGAACTATACCGACCGAGCAACCGCCGCTTGTCAGCGAAGTTAGTGCCAACTTTAGCGGATAGAGGGTGTCGCGTGGTCAGCGCAACGAATCGCCACGGCCGTTAATTTCGGTTTTCTAGACCGGAGCCGTTATTTCCTTGATATAGCTCCTCGGTTATCCTCACGAGGCTGAGTGGACACCGTTCCAGACCCACTACTTCCCAGAAAATTTGGTAGCGCCGGGAATCGAACTCTTGACTACTAGACCAAAAAGACGTTCTACCTTTAAGAATTAAAAAATATGTACGCCATTTGGAAAATACTTTCTAAAAGTGTCCGTCACTATTTTGCATTCTAAATTACCCTTGATGTTCATTTATTGCAACTGCAGATAAAAGACTTTTAGCATTACCTATTTAATAAAGCAGCCAAAGGAGAATTATTTAACATAAACGGTACGTGGCCTATACCACTTCTGTATACAAGAAAGAAACATGAAATGACTGCTCAAATAAGGGCATAAGTGTAACGGGAATGTTAGGAAAACAATAAAAGAACGTCTGGGAAAGGAAATGAAAAGAAAATTAAGTGAAATACAAAATAGTTTCGTACACGGGCCAGATTATAAGGATGATATACAGTATATGTAATGAGACACCTTCGAAAGGTATCAGGAAAAATAAAAAAATTAAAATTGGTCGGTTTTGACGTTCTCATAGCAGTCGCTAGGATGTGTTTTGCCTTCTGGGGTAAGATGCCATGTAGTCAGGTGAAAGTTAGCCGACGACAAGCAAGAAACCACTATGCTGGCTGTTTGCTTGACTTCCTGTTCGACCCTGAAGATAGGCGATATGCTCCTCTGAAACGTCGGTTTACTTTCACCGGACTACACGGCGTTATAACTCGGAGGACAGAACATCTGGTGATTGCAGATTTAAGAGAGACAGGTTTCTATACTACGACTGAAATTTTGTTAAGTCTATGANCTACTTCCATGAACTTCTCCGTTCACTTCGGTTTTTCTAGAGCTTACACATTCGGTAGGACTCCTTGGGCGGGTGATCAGCTCGTCGCAAGGCCTCTACCTGTATACAAACACAGAAAAACACACACAAACGAAAAACACACATACAAACGAAACATCCATGCCCTGAGTGGGATTCGAACCCACGATCCCGCTTTCCGAGCGAGCGAAGACAGTACATGCCTTAGACCGCTCAGCTACCGTGACCGGCATTATTTCCTATAATAACTGAAAATACAAACTAAATTTTCGTGATTTTTAGAGAAGCAAATATCTCACTAAAACCTGTATATTTTATTTCTGTTTTGTGAAGGCCCCAGGTTTCATAGATTGGTTCAGGCTTTCAAAAGTTGATATGGGGGGATTCATAGACACGCAGACAAACAGACAGCTTGGTGATCTCATAAGCTTAAAATTAAGGGGGGATACACAGACACAGACGGATGTACAGATAACAAGACAATCTCATAAGCCTCTTTTTATTTTTTCAAAATCAGGAAATTAGGCTAAAAAGTATGAGAAATTTAAGAGAACTTTCTATGTTTTGAGATCGATATATTAACCTAATCAGAAGATAATCAAACCCAGAAAATCTGAAGGTGCAGTTAACCGATTCGTTTTCAATTTCGACCAAAGACAGCTGCAACTGATGACAATATACGTGTGACTCAGAAATAGAACATGAATCAGTGTATCGAGAGACGACACTTCGCTTGATAGCTTAT